AGTCCAAACCCTTCCTTTAGTTGAGTTTACAACATGAGAGTTTGGACACTATAAATCAGCCTGCTATAGTGCCACAAGTGAATGAGAAAAGATAGCATAGTCTTAAATGGAAATGGAACTGCTGTTCTTATTAAGTTGGGTCTTCTTAGAGGCAAATGTCATGTAGAAAACTGCTGCAATGAAACTTCTCCATGGTTAAGAAACAGTCTTCAAATTATCTGCAAATATGGTATTTTATACTGCCTTTTTAAATTTGGAGGTGGGTCTTTTGATGAACTAGCAGACTCAGTCAAGTTACATATAGACTTCAGTTTGAAAAATTTACTATTTCTGCCTTTCTGTAGGCAAGTCCCTTGCTTTTTTTATTTTTGATCTTCATTAGTATAAAATAAATTTGATACTATCTTCTTTATCTTCATCAAGATTAAGCAGGAAACATATGCATAAGAAGTTTATAACAATGGCAACTCATAATAAGAATAAAAAGAGTCATGTGTTTATTATGTGTCAGGAATGTTCATTAATTACCTCATTTATTTTTTATAACAACTCTAACAGATATTAATTCTGTTATCCTCATTTTACAGAAAGGCAGAGGATACAAAGCTTGTATGCCAAAAGACTCACAATTAAGAAAGTTAGGGGAAACTAACATGTGTTTCCTACACTGCAGGCAAGGTAAGGCTATGATATTAAAGTTGGTAGAGGCTGAAAGACAGAACAACTTCCAATGTGATATCATAGACAAATAAAATAACTATTGTTCTATAGGCACAACACCTGAGGTCCAGTAGATTTCATGATTTGACCAATATCAAGTATTATGTTTTCACCATATATAATTAATACTACATACAGAATATATCTGAAGCACTTCACTATTAAACCAGAGGAAGTACAGCAAAGTTTCTAGAAAAGGTGTGGAGGGGTATGTTGAACAGGGTGGGGAGGGGAGTATTCAATATCCATGTTTTAAATCCTAGCACTTCCATATAGTCAGCTATTTTACTAGGAAACTAAATGTCCTTGGACAATCATAAGAAAAGGTGCTTAAGGGACAGTACCTGCTAGATCTACAATTGTATCAATTCCTGAACCTATGTCTCAAAGTATATGAGGTCCTTCACAGAGAATTATTTATGTCTCTAACTGTGCTAACTTTGTATGATGTTTAGACAGCAATAAGAAAAGAAGTCTCAAGTGTAAACTCTTTTTTTTTTTTTCTTGGTTGGTATATATAGATAAGGGGGGATATAAATTCTTACCTCAGCAATGGTCAAATTTTTAAAGAAAAAAATTCATTCATTGATTTCTGTTTTCTCCATACTGGTATCTAATAACATCCAAAAATTTATAGAAAGAAGAAAAGGATTACCTAACCATCAAAGAAAGGGGAAGGTTAGGGATAACTGGGAGGAGTAGGGGAGGGGAAAGTGTAATCAAAAATTATTGTATGAAAAAAATCTATTTTTAAAAAAGAAAAAATTAAATGAAGAAGGCTATGATTATCTACCAACCAAAGAAAGGAAGATGGCCTTATTCACAAGTTCCCAGAGCTTGCCAGGTACTCACAGTCTGGTGGACTTTCATAGCATAATATGATTTCAAATCAAACAAAACAGGCACAGTCCTGCTTGTCCACTGGTAACAGGTTCATCTTGGGCAAAGTAACAACATCTTTGATTTTACCAAGAATATATGAACAGAGTTGACCCAGCTGCTTCTTTATGGTAGACTTGCTCAGATCTGGAGTGAACACTGTTATCATCCTGCTTCACAGTCCCTAAGGTCTTGAGAAATCAGAATCAGATTGGCTAGTGAAAGTGACTAAAAGTTACATATCCTGGGAACCCTTTGTGCAAATAAGGCCCTATATCATGAACCAAGAGTCTACCTGAGGAGGAGAAGAAGGAGGAGGACAAGGATAGATAGAAAGAAAGAGAAAGGAAAGAAGAAAGGAAGGAAGGAAAGAAGGAAGGAAGAAAGGAAGGAAGATAAACAAAACCTTTATAATAGGCTATTGTCCTACAGGGCCAGAGTCAGTTCTTGCCATCTCATCAAGAGTGACAATGTTGAAAAATAAGCTCAGTGGGCAAAGTAGTTACCTAACATGCACAAGGTCCTTAATTTTATTTCCAATATTGCATAAATTGAGTGTGATAGCAATACATGCAATCTCAGCACTTAGGAAGTATAAGAAGATCAGGAGTTTAAATCATCTTTGGCTTCATGGTGAGTTCAAGTGAGCTACATTGTCTCAAAAACAAAATAAGGGCAGGGACTAGTTAAGTGATTCAAATTTATGAACCCTATCTGCTCTTGCAGAGGAATTGCCTGAATTAAATTCCCAGCACCAACTTGGTAGCTCACAACACAACCATCTGTACCCCCAGTTCCAGAGGATCCAATGTTCTCTCTGGCTTCTATGGATACTGAACACATGTGGTGTACAGACACACATGCAGACAAAACACCCATACACTTAAAATAATGTTTTACTTTTTAAGTGAAAAGAATTTGAGCATTCTCAAAATGTGTTTCATTACTACCCATTCTTTATAGATACACAACATAGTTAAGAAAAATAAGATGGTATCCTGTAACTCGGCAGTACTGGAAGGTATGCTAACCTAACTTGAATCTGAATGGAGATTCGAAGTTGGATTTCGCATCACCTAATAACCCACAGGTCCCCAGTTTTTTTCTATCCCCCACCACCAGGTAGCTTTTCCCTAAAAGAGCTTTCAACCTCTAACTTAACAGTTCAGGGCCTTTGAGCATAAGGCTATCAGAGAAAGAGTGAACTGGGCATTACCACAAGTGTCATGTAGCCTGCTGAATGGATCTCAGATCCTTCAGATTTCCTACATGCACAGTCTTCTATGATTACAGACTTCACCATTACCCTTGGTCTAAAGCTAGGGCTTTATGCTGCAAGATGGGAGAGACTAAAAAGTGATGCTGGCACCAGAGAACAGGATATAGGCTCAGTATAGGAATTGCATCTTATTAGGAATTAATTGCTACATGTGTGCCGTGTTCCTCTCGTTAATATGTATAAACAGTGGTTAATTAATGAACTCCTAGATAATAGACATTACAGTTTTTATTCTTCTCTCGTTTGGTGGGATATAGCACACTCTCTGTTTATTGACACAGAAAAAGAAAGGAAAATGGGGTAATTTGTTGATAATCACATAACACATGTGAAATTAAGCAAGATTTAGAAGGAAATATTCCATCTACTCTAGTAGTATCCCATCCCAGAATTTACACTCAGAATTGTTATACTTTTCCCTTCCTCTTATTTAGAAGAGGAAACTAAAACTCACTGACATTTAACAAGGCTGAAGACATAATGTTAGTTGGATTTCAAATTAGTGCTAGTGAGGGCTATTGTAAACTGGGATCCTGGGAACTTTGGTGCAGCCAGAAGACACTTCAGACACTAAACATGCAACAACAGAGTACACAGACTAGTAATGAAAACTTCAAAAGAATCTTGTTGATGCCATCTTCAAGTCTCTAGGAACTCATGTTTGTCAAAACCCACTAAAGACTCCAAACCATGAACCTGTCTACACTAACCTTATCATGAGAACTGTCAACACTCATGGTTACAGAAGTACTCAGGTCTCAAAACCAGAAATGTCCTTTTAGGAATTTTCATCCTTGGTTCTTTCAAGTCCTGACAAATTGTTTCCAGTCAAATTCACTAGTGGGAATTATTTTCTGAAAAAGAATTGCTTACTTTAGTTCAAGCACCTACTAAGGAGTTCTTGGTACCTCAAACCATGAATAGAGATTATGTAGGGCTATTTGCAGTGAACCATGGAGAATCTCATTGGAGTTTAAAACTTGAAGTAGGAAGATTCTGAGTCATCACTACATAACCCCTTTCGACTTGACAGGGATGTTACTGATCAGGTAGGTGACAAGCATCTAGAATAAGAGGCTAGGCATGCCCAGGTTACAAGCACACAAGTAGGACTCACTAGAGCAAAAAACGCAGCTTTAGTTTTCTTGTGCCTATGAGCTGTTATACATGTTAGTCAAATTCTGATTTCAAACACTATGAAAATGTTTACCATCTTTTAGATTTCTCAAAGAATACACCAGGATCAAATCAAGAAGTCTTAAAGCAAATGCCATGAACATTATCATAACCCCTCCCCTCCTTACTCCCATCTCAGACACTGGGGAGGAGTTGCAAGTGGTTTTCTATGAGTTTGAAGTCAGCTTTGTCTACATAGGGAATTTCCAGCTAGTCAGATTTAGGTGGTGAGACCTTACCTCAGGGTATAAGATAAAATAAAAAAGTTGTCCTAAAACACATACAGTCTTCTTTCTGAGAGAGACTATGGAGAGACAGAGATAAAAAGGGATGAAGAGATAAACTTGCCCTAGATGTATACAAAATCAACAATCTCAAACTTTCTTGACTGAAGAGGTAATCATAGTAGTAAAATTTGTTATAAACTAAATTCCTAAAACTCAAGAATGGGCAAATAAACCTGAGACAATTCTGCTCCCTCTTAAGTTTCCCAGGGGCTTCCCCTCTGCTGGCCAGAATAAAGACCACGTGGGACACTGGACCGAGTTGGGGCTACTTGTACCCAGAAAGGGACTAGAATGGAAACAGAATGCCACTATAATCTCCTGGGTCCTGGTTTCAGGCTGCTCTGAACCCAGGAATCCCAGAGGAAAGTCGAAGAACCAGTGTGAGCTATAGAAGCAGAACACCCATTGAGATCAAAGTTACTTGAAGTTGCAGCTAGAGTTGATGAAAATTCCAACAGAAATAAGAACAAAAACAACAAGAAAACACTTTCTTTTCTTTGAAAATAGGTTTCCAAGGTACTGGTCAAAGTTTCCTAGAGTGGACCACTCTGAAGATCTGGATCTCCTGCTTGGTTGCACTCTAAGATCCCAAGACAGAAAAGTCACTCTCCACTCCCCAACCCCTCCTCCCCTTAGAGCGCGCTGCTCTGAGTGCTCACCTGCAATGTCCCAGAGCTGCAAGCGCACCACGGTCTCTGGGTCCCAGTGGAGCACCTTTAGCGCAAAGTCCACACCAATGGTGGCTCGGTAGTGCGAAGAGAAGTTCTGGTGCACATAGCGTTTGATGATGCTGGTCTTGCCCACACCCAGGTCACCGATCACCAGCAGCTTGTACAGGTGCTCCTTGTGCGGGGCCTGCATCCTGGAGGCCCGCTGGTCTTGTGGAGCCTGGAGCTGAGCGTGCCCTGGGAAAAGTAGCCTAGCCGGGCGTGTGCAACCGGACAGAGACTCAGGCGCTGTGTAGGCACGAAGGAAGGCCTGGCGTGCTGGTGCAGGCTGGCGAGCTGGGGCGGAACTCCTCCCCTGGGGTTAATCCTCCTTCCTTCACCGCGTTCTCCAAAGTGGGAGGAGACAGGAGCGACTCCTGGGACTGGAGGCTAAAGGACCTGAGTGCTATTGCCAATTCCAGCTCTTATTTGCACAGTGCTCCTGCCTTTCACAGGGATTTTTCTCACCTTTCGTCCAGGGCACAGACTTGCAAACTGTGCGCGTTTTTTTTTTTTTTTTTTTTTTTTTTTTTTTCCATAATCTGCCTGGGAGAGAACTGAGTGTCTAAATGTACCCAAGTGTCTTCTGAGGCTACCAAGCCCTGCTGCCACCCACACTGTGGTGTGAGATGGGGAGGCCATGAAATAAATACCAAAGCAGCAGGCTCAGCTCTTCAGTTTGGGTTGAAGTTAAATAACACTGGGCAAATCCTTCAAGCCCCTTTCCCTTTACATCTGTAGAACAGTAATGCCCTTAGCACCTTTTCACCTACTAAACGGTTAATGACCTTAAGGGCCCCTGAGATGAAATGTTGAGAACTTGCTAAACTTTCAGCCTCTACTCCCATTCTAAGGTCTGCCACCTATACTGAGCAACTACACATGTGAGGTCCTATCATTATAAGTAGCAGCAAATGTTTATAATTCCTCTCCCATATGCCACTTACTCATCCTGGCAGTCCTAAAAATAGTATTCTTCCTCTTTTACAAATGAGGAGTCCCAAGAACAGTAGTGCAAACAAAACATGTTTCTACCCCTGGGCCTGCTGGTATCAACACCTTCTTTCTCATTCATTCACCTAATGGTGTGCTCTATGCAGGTATCCATGTACTTGTGGAAACAGAAATAATCGCAGGCCCACAGTGGAATAAATGCACCAGTAAAGTAGGAAAACCAATGTTGAAAGGCTGTGTGGGCTTGGCTGTTTGCTTAGGGAGGCCAGAAATTTCTCCTTGGGCAGTTGAGGAGTCCATGAGTGCTTAAAGAAGTAAGGACAGGAACATACAGATGTTGGGAATCAGCAGACTTAGTCAATATGGGTCATTCTGTACCCAATGTGCTCAGAAGGGAGGGAAGGGTGCTCGGTCTGAGTAATCTTATTTTGTCTTTACATTCCTTTATGAAGTGAGGTTTTGTCTGCAACTGTGAAGCGGGAAAGCAAGATTGAGAGCCACCTCCCCAAGGTGCCATGAAGCTAGGGAGTGAAAGAAATGAGATTTAAATTTTATAAAATAGTGAGCAGCAAAAAGTTTGCTATGGTCAAAGTCTTTCAGCTGTGCTTCTCTGAAATTACATAATACTGTCACCTTCAGCCTCCATCAGTCTCTCATAAGGAGAGCCTTTCCTAGATTACCATGCATGTACAAACATCTGAACTTTGGTGTTCAGAACAACGAGAAAGCAATAATGTCTGAATGATCTGGGAAGGGGCCATATGTGCATGTGTGTATACATGCACACACCTGTATGCATGCATGTAGTAGATGCTGATTGAATGTGAATAAATCACAGCTCTTAGTGAGAAATGACAGGCAAGTTTTATGTTCTGTCCACAGGGGTTGGTTCCTTGGCTTTCTTTCTCCTTACAGGATAATTCAGAAATCTTGCTCTTAATGAAACACTAAGGGAAGATATGTAGACCCATTCTGGCTTCTGATTTTGCTGACGTGCTTAGATATCTGGGTAAGTATCATCCATTGGTTTCACATATACACTGGAAACATCCTGCCTGCTGACAGAATTGACCAAGGCTGACATCCCAGGAAAAGCCACAGGAACTGGAAGTACTTACACCTTGTTAGCATCAACAAAATCAGAGATTCTGACAAAGTAAGAGTCTTCCCAGATCCTGAACCACACTTTTGTAGATAGGAAAAGCTTAGTTCTGGGCAAAGAGATGATGAAAGAAACTAGCAGATGGGTAGAAATTTGAGACCTGGTGTGGCCCATCCATCACTATTTTACCTGCCCCAACATTTTTCCAGGCCCTAGTTTGTTTCCTGAGGCAGATACCAGCTGTGTCATCTTGATCTTGATCTGATCTCTTCTGCTTAGGAATGTATTGGCACATGAGCCATTCAAATGTATTATTTAGGACAGGTGGAACAGGACTCAGGATTTCTGGAGCCAATGTTCATAAAAATGGGGGGGTCTTCAAGCAAAGGAACACAAAATTGAAACTTAAAAAGTAGGTCTAGGGCCATGGAAGGAGCTCTAACATGTCTGTTTCCTGGCCTCTCTGAGGCAGTAGGAACCTCTCTCAGGGGCACTACCCAACCAGAGTTATCAAGCAATTTGTTTCCAAATGTATTTATTGTAGTCTTATGATAATTCCCCACAACAGGAAGAAATTACTCTTAGTTTCTTTTTAAACCATCTAAACTTAAGTGCTATGAAAAATACAGACTAGTAGTCCGGGGAAACCTAACTAGGTCCCTGAACCTGTAAGGGCACTGTCTCAACATCGTATTTGCCTCAGAGAAACCGGTTTTTCCCAGTGACTATCTACACGCTCTTACCATGCTCCTATTGCCAAACTACTGCACACCCTCTCACCAACAAAGAAAGGCAGATGATGCAAGTCAAAAGGTGTGAGACTGCAAAAATACTCACAGTTCAAGGCCTTCATGATAGCCCAGAAAGCACAGTGGCAGCTTTCTCTGTGCCATTCACTTGCTGTCCAGTGTGGATACAAAAGCTTTCACTTACTAAGTGGAAATACTAATTAAAGTGATCGGAAATTGCTTTGCAAATATAAAATTGAAAGCCAATCCTTTTTGCTTGTCTCTGGGGTTGTCAAATTAGATGAGACTCTGAAAAGTTATTTTATTTGCTTTTGCCATTAAAAGGACCACAGGGAGTTTGCTCGTTAGCTTATGTGAGCTCTTCATTATTCCATGAAAGAAATACTTAAAGAAGTGCAAGATAGACTTGGTCCCAAAGATTCTTTTGTAGGAAAGGTAAGCTAAATTTTCTTAGGTTAATATAAGCAAGATATCATAAAGAAGATCGGCCTTTGCTCTATAAAAGGCTTTGGAAGAGATGACCAGATAATGAATTACACAAAACCAGGCTTCTTGGGAACAGAAAGGGGCACTACTAATAATTACACAAAATAAAAGGAATGAGGCAAGGTTCTCTTCAAGCATATCCATTCCTGAGGCAAAAACAGGGAGTTAGAGATCTCAAAATGAGACCTGTACTTATTAGTGGAATCCGCAAATCTCTTAAATCACTTTTAACAAGTGAAGCTGTAAGTTCCTTGCTCTGTTATCTTCAAAGAGTTCCCCTTTTATCCACTAGGCAGGGCTGAAACCTGTTCCTCTCAAACCTGTGCTCACTTGTAATGGGCGTTAGTTAGTTATATCCAGTATTGATTGAGGAGAGGAATGTAGCAGTTGTTTGCAAGTGGATGTTAACATTCAGATTATTTGGACAGAGGCCCAGGTGGATTAGAGTGGAAAGTGCTTGAAATGATCATATTTCAGTCAGTAAGAATTCTGAGGTTGGACAGTTTTTCCACCAAAAGCTTATATGAAGCATTCAGCAATTATCATAATAAATTAATTGCAGTTGAGGTTTTGAAATCTCCATTAGTCTGTATCAGGAAACCTAATTCAGTCCTAAATAATTTTAGGTCATAGATTCATCGAAAGAATTATGTTTGTAGCTGCCCATGTTAGTTAGTCATGTATTGGATAGATCTGTGGCACTTGGAGCTTCTAACCTGCCCAGCATGGATGAGGATGAGAATTGGGATAGCTGAAAGGCGAGGACATAAGAAGCACATGCATCAGATGATCCCAAATATAGACAAATTTAATATTCCTTATGCTATATACTCTTTTAATAAGCTTAATTTATTTAAGCCTCACAATTGCCCTCTAACAAGCACCTTCTCTTTATTTGAGCAAAATATTTGTTAAATGGTTCAAACAATCACCCAAGAGTCACAGGAACAGAAGAGCAATTTCAATACAGAGCTCCAACATTTGTTTCTTTTTGTATGTACCACATTTATTTAGATATGACAAATGACAAAATAAAGAACCAAATTTCTCATCCAGGTGGGGGTGTGCGTGCATGTGTGTGTGTGTGTGTGTGTGTGTGTGTGTGTTTTATACTATCATATATTCAGGTTATACAGAAAAAAGCATTGGTTCTATATAAATTTTACAGAAATGGTGAGTTTAATGATAAAAGTACATAATCCACACTTGTTCAATACATACAAATAACATTCTTTTTATTTGATCAGTGATCCAACCTAATATCTATAGCAAGGGTGTTCTAGGGTGTCTTCTTCCATTGCTCCAGGTAATACTCAGGGTATCCAATGTTGAGTGACCCTGCAGTCTGCACAAGTGATGATATATGAAGTCATGCAATGTGGTAGAATAATGAAATTATGCCAGAAAATTATTAACACACTATTAAAGCATCAAATATATTTATATGTAAAACTCCACAATGTACAGGGTTTTTCTTTTTACTTTTATTGATACTTTGTGGATTTCACTTCTTATATTCTGATCCTAATTATCTCCCAATCTTTTCTGCCCTCTGCCCTTAAAACCTGCCCCACCCTCAATCAAAACCAAATTTAAAATAAAAACCCCAAACCTAACAAAAAAAAATAAAAGACTATCATCATACTATGGACAGTTTGAGCATAAATGTCAAAACAAGGTTTTCACATCAATTTAAAGAATTGGAAAGACATAAGCCCCTACCATCAAAATGTATCCATTCTGATTAAACTATCAACATGGTCCTCTACCTACTCTGTGACCATGTCTAAATCTCCTTTATTGTCAACTTCCTTTCTTTTCTGTCTGTCTAGTATTTTGCTGTTTTATATCCTCTGGCAATTGTCTCTCTTTACTTTGCTGAACTCATTCACTTTGTTAGACTATATCAAATTAAC